TAAACTATCCTTTTGATTTGCCTTTGCTGAATCTCAAAGTTTCTAAGGATATTGTTTCCATTCTTATGTTATCCTAGAGTTTACCATATTCTTGATATATTCAACAGCATATTGTTTAGTTTGGTCTTTAGATATTTTTATAATAGGCTTGGTTTTCTTATATCAGATTCATAATTTTATTTCACTGTGTGTTCTGACACCTTGTAGAGCATCGTTTTGTCTTCTTTGTGCTTAAGGTTTTCTTTATGAGATATTTGGTAGTATTATATTTCTTCAAAGAGTAATATAGAACTGGATCCTAGATTTTCATCCAGTTAACAACCTGCATTTTTCTTTTGGCTTATAGAATTTTATTTTAATTTTTATGATGATAAAACACTGATCATATGTGGAATCTTCAACTCAGAACTTCCATTCAGGGACTTTTAAATAGAGAGCTGAATTTTTCATTGTAGAACTAATATGCTTTACATTTGTGTTTATTATTCAAAAAGTCTTATTCATTCCTGAAATTTCATTTTGTAACTTGGTCGAATTGTGATTTGTCCATATTTTTCCAGGTAAAAATTACCGATTGATTTGTTTATGAGGTTACACAGGACTGACTTTTTTAAAAGTGTAATGTCTATTTTACTAAATGATGTTTCTTTTGTCCTTATGAAGACAAATATTTACATGGATTTTAAAAGAATTGGTAGGGAAATACCTACAACTCTAAATAATTTTGCAGTAATGTAGCTTGACATGTAGTTTGGGAAGCATATAAACATCAACGACACTTGGTTTGGAAATGTCTCTGGTAGTACTGAGCTCTACAGAGTTCCAAATGAAGAATTTGTCCTTGTCAATGAACTGGGCCCAGTTGTTGGCTTCACTTGACTCCACCTCTTTTGTGGGAGATGATTTCTTCATCCTCCTCTTTTTCATCCACCTCATCTCCCTTTCCTGATTCTTGTCATCTTGAGATTGCAATTAAAAAATTGATTATTTTCTATTTACTCCTTGTTAATCTATTATTTTCATGGGACACATATTTTTCTGTTTCTTGATAGAAATTATCTTTTGTTTTGTTTAAAAATGTATTTCAGCTTTTTCTTAATACTGAATTAGTCTTCATGAAATGTCTTAATTTAAGCTTTTCTTAATATGTTCTATTGAATTTGATAAAATCAAAACATAACTTTTGGAATAAAACCATCTTGGTGGCCAATTATTTATTTTTAATTCTTAAATATGTATTTTAATATTCTACTACTTTTTGAATTTCAGGATTTCTAGTGAAAGGTCTTTTTATTATTCTAATATGGTTATTTGGTGAGAAAACTGACATATTTCTAATAAAGTCTTTCTTGAATGTTTTTTTTGTTGTTGTTGTGTGTGTATGTGTGTGTGTGTGAGTGTGTGTGTTACTCAATCCTTAACTTTAGGTCAGTTTCATTTCATTCTTTCTTTCTACACACACACACACACACACACACACACACACACACACACACACTCCATATGAACTTTTCCTTGTGATAAATAACTAACAAAAGCAAAGTAAATTAAAGAGAAATCACATTTTTCTTTTTTTACAGTTTGAGATTACATTCCATCCTATCAAGAAAAGCAGAAAGATATTGATAGCGCTTGCCTTTGTAGCAGTGGAATGATAACGTTTGCATAGACTTAGGGTGCTGAGATGAGAGTGGGCTACAAGCATGCACTGGGATTTCTCTCTCTATCATTCATTATGAGTTTCCTGCCCATTATACTATTTTACATTTATATATTATACTATATATATATATATATAGTACTATATATATTATACTACATTTATGCCTGAGTTACTTCTTTTGTTAATCATTTCTGAGCAGGGACTAGAGATGTGTCTCTGAGGTGACTATTAACTATGTTAACAGTGAAGATTCCCACAACAGATATTTGACTATAGTAGACATGGAAGTTTGTTTTCAAATATATATTTCAGGTTCTAAACGCTTCCTGTGTGTTTGAATTTTTATTTTCTTCCTCTTGCTGGGGAAAGTTTTTGTCAAATTTTAATGAAGCAAATGTATTATAATTTTGGTTTATATTTCAGATGGCTTTTCTATCCTATGGATTCTTGTTTACCTTGTGAGCCACATCCTGATGTAGCCATGCTTGCTTAATCTATCTTTTCCATGTATTTATAAATGTTTCTTTTCATGAAATAATTCTCAATTCTTGGCATTAAATTCTGGGTGATTTAATCTATCGTCTGTGCTTTGTACCAGCTCTGGCAGGAGAGTACATTGTGGTACCATGTACATGTAGTACATGGTAGAGGAGGTCACAACTTTGTGTCAATAGAAAATAAAAATAAAAACACATACAAATGATAGATGATAGATAAATAGAGATATATACAAAGGAGAGATGGGGAGTGTGTGTGTGTGTGTGTGTGTGTGTGTGTGTGTGTGTGTGTGTGTGAGAGAGAGAGAGAGAGAGAGAGAGAGAGAGAGAGGGAGTTAGGAATCCCCTTTGAAGTACACACAATGAAATCTTGTACCAGGCTCCAACTTCTAAATCCACCATCACTTTAATGCTGATCAAAGCTTTACCTTCAAGCATGAGCTCTTACAGATGGTGTAGTTCTAAACTGCAACATGACTACTTATAGACTTTAAAAATGTATGGGCTCTACCCTTCTTGCTTTTATTCCTTTGTGAACTGAACCTCCTCTCTTCCTCTTTCTACCTCCTTCTTGACACCCTTTCTTTCCCATCTCTCTCTGTCCTCTACCTCCCCACTCCAGGCTCTGAATGTGGCCTCTAGACAAACACCCACAGTCTGTAGCCTGATGTCTGAATCTAGCTGCAGCTGATCAGGGAGAGGAGATGGGTCAGGTGTGTCATCAGTCCCAGCACTTCTGGCCAGGTGAATTGCCAGGGGCTACCCTCTGTTATTCCTCAGTGTCTTTCAAAATTAGATAAATACAGTTCTGATGACTTCATCCTCAACAGATGAGCTCACATGCCTATGCTAGAGAGCAGGGTAAACTTGCTATTAAATGAGATGCTACAACCCCAATACTCATGGAGAGATTTACTCACAAATCTATGGAGGCTGCTCTTTTGTGCTGAAGAAATGTGAAACAGTATGAAGGAGGGTCTGAGAACAATGAAATAATCAGAAAAAAAACCCAAACCTCCAAGTAAAGATGAAGCTGAAAATGATGATGAAAATACTGGTTTGTATCAGGAGATAGACTAGGACATCTTAGCATGGTTACACCAGGAAAAGAACCAAGGCAAACTCCAAGTTCAGGTTGCCATTCAGCCTGGCAGTCAGTAAGGGTTCTTTCAGAGCATTGCTGAATATCAGTTTCCCTTCTGACAAGGAGAAAGACAGAAAGAAAATCCACAAAGATGTCTTTGAAACGGAAGGCAAGGTCAAAAGTGAAGAAAACTTCTCAAGGAAGGTGGTGTCTAGGGGTTCATGCCAATAATATACATTCTTCACTGGAATAGACCTATATGAATTTGGCTAAACTGAAGAAGAACCCAAAAGACAGAATGATCCTGCTAAAATCGGAACAGATTTTGCAATTCATTATTGATAACAGTAACCTGTTCAAGAAGTTCCCACAGACAACTTCATATCAGCGATGATATCACAGTGTGCTGCAGCTACTTATTTAGAGATTGGTAACAATGTTGGTCAGCCTGGGAAAGTAAACCAACAATACAAGAATCCTTGAATATTGATTCACAGAATGCATAAAAGATGAGAATATAAAATTCCTTTATTATTATCATCATCATATCATATATTTTGACTGCAGCCTCCATCCCCTCCTCTGCTCACAGTCACTATATCCCAGTTTCCTTCTTCCCCACATCCACTCCTCTGCTTCCCTTCAGAAAAGAACAGGCCTTGCAGAGATATCCATTAAACATGGCATAACAAGATGCCATAAGACTAGGAACAAACCCTCAAATCAAGGTTAGACAAGGCAGATCAGTAGGAGGTAAAGTATCCAAAAGTAGGCAAAAACCCCAGACACCCCTACTCCCACTGTTAGGAATTCCACAAACACCCCAAGCTAAACAACCATAACATGCGCGCAGAAGACCCAGACAAGACCCATTCAGGCTCTGTGACAGCCACTTCAGTCTCCATGAGACCAAGTTATCCCTGTTTAGTTCATTTCATGTGTCATGTGCTCCTGGTGTCCTTGACCCTTCTGACTCCCACAATCCTTCCTCTCCATCTTCTGCAAGACTTTTAAAGCTCCACCTAATGTTTGACTGCGGGTCACTACATCAACAGAAATTCATTCTCCAGAGAGGACTGTATGAATGAATATGATACTCTGCTCAGACATCCAGTGCAGGAGAAAATCAATGGAAGATAGAGAGGATATCAAAAGGTCTGAGAGAGATTTTTTTGCCCAAGAAACTGAGCACAGTGGACATCTAAATAATGAATGGGGAAACAGAAAATCTGAGCCACACCTCAAGCTGCTGAGAGAGTAGTGTAAATGGTGAATCCAAATCCCTAGAGCCATTGTCTCAGAGCAGAGGAGACACAGAAAGTTCAGTGGAGACTACAGGATCTTGTCACCAAACCTAGATGCTTCAGTGGAATTTCCATCCTCACCAGAGGATGGTACAGGGTACAGATGGTAGAGGGGAAAGACATCTAAGCCAGGAGTGGCTTTTTTTTTTTTTTTTTTTTTTTTTTTTTTTTTTGGCATTTCCCTCAAGCAATATGGCTTTATTCATTCCTGAGTGAAGGGCAGCAGTAGCATGGTCCGGGGCAGGCAAGGCTGTGGCTTGTGGTTTCTGAAGCCTTAGGCTGGTGAAAGGACAGGCAGCACTTTCCCTGCACACTGGCCAAAACCAACATGGTAGCCGTTCCCCTGGCAGTGACCTGTTATGATGACTTTATCGCCATCTTGCAAGAAGGTCCTGGTCTGCTCCTGATCCAGATCGATGTTTTTGTTCCCCTCCAGGACGGTTCCAGCATACAGCCAAAGCTTCCAGGTTCTGATCCACTGATAGTTCCAGAAGCCAAGAGGTCTCCAGGTTCCATATTGCATCCATTAACGGAGTGGTGTGTGAGTTGCTGCAGCATGGTCCAGTACATATGCTTAAAGTTGGACCTGCAGATGGTAGCCACCTGGCTCATTCCTTCTCCTTTCAAGGCAACAGACTGGTTGATATCAAATGTGTACGGCTGCTTGTGGCAGAGATATGGCAAGGGCTTGGGGTCCTGCTCTGGGTTGGACACCACAAAGGGCATGAGGGCATCCATAGGTACCACCCATGGGGAGATGGTGGTTCCAAAGCTCTTCCCCAGAAATGGCCCAAGGGGAACATATTCCCACTGCTGGATGTCTCATGCACTCCAGTCGTTCATGAGGACCATCCCGAAAATGTGCTCGTGGTCATTTCACTGGGGCTCTCTCCTTTGCACTGCCCAGCAGTAACAACAGTAGCAGCAGTAAGAACTTTCTGCTCTTATACCCACTCATCATCTGCCTCCCTTGAATAATCACATGGTTTCACAGCAGGCAAAAATAAATAAATAAATGAATGAATAAATAAAACCTCAGCAACCCCTTCAGACAAAGGATATTCTACTGAAGCAACTGATCCATTCTCAACTCTGTTCCAGTCCCAAATATCCTTCCTGAAATTTCAGCAACCTAGGCACATCATGACTTCATGACTTCTACAAGGTAGCTGTTCGCTACTTACAACTATCCCACATATCCCCTTCTGCCACCTACTCACCAAATCCTATCCTTCTGGGTTACCTGCAGGACCTCAACTGATCCACTTCTTTAACTCCATGGACAGTATCCTAACTCAACTCAGTAGTCTCTCTCTCTGTGTGTGTGTGTGTGTGTGTGTGTGTCCCTTCCTCTCAGACAAACGCATGCATGCATGCACACACACACACACCACATACACATGCACACACTCAAATGCATACACGCATCTGCACACACACACACACACACACACACACACACACACACCTGGTGGCTGATATCCCCCAGCATAATCAGCAGCTGCCTCTTTCAATAGCCTTTTTTTTTTTTTTTATTTCATGACTCCTAACCAGCAGGAGATGGTTTTTGTGCTTGGGGTCCAGCAGCCTCAAACAAGGATCTTCTCAACAATCAGAGGAGGCACATGGGAGGTCATATGCAAAGCCTGGGGTTCAGTACACTTTGCCACTTTATTACCACACCCTATACTGTGCATTGACTTACAAAAAACATTATCCAGTCCCACACTGAGCCCTCAAGTCAGCCTGTGGACAGAGAAGTCCTATCAGGGGCTGTACCCATGTTCTACATGGTTCTGCTGGCACAACAGAATTGTATGAGCCCTTCTATAAGGTTTCTGCAGCCTCCTAGTTCCAATTGGTATCAAATACCTCACCCTCCCTCTCTCTGGATTTTACAGCACATAGCAAATCAGTACACAGGAATGTTGTCATCATCTGGACCTAGTGTGTTGATCATGCAATTGAATGTGCCTATTGAACCACAACATGCCTCCCCCTCCCCACACATATCCAAATCCATCCATGGTCCAGTGGAGTCACTGCATATATTACAATGTAGCAGCAAGGAAAGAAGCCTGGAGCCTTGTACAATCTTGACAGTGACTGTAGGTCAACACTAAAGAGTACAGTAGCTCTGTAGGATCTCCTAGTCTCCAGCACCCTCTCCTGTCACCATGCTGCCTACACTGGATTTAACCTCTTGCTGCTCCTCATCTACTTACCTGGGCATGGGTGTCCCTTCACAGGGTGGTGGGCACCATTGCCTATAGGGCAGTCATTATACTACAGTCTGTCCATCTGTCCTCTCTTGCTATATAGCCAGTCAATTTAGAGTGTGCCAGGGACAGAATGGATTGAAGAAAGGTGCTCTGCTGGGAATGGCCAAAAGTGACAGATCTCTCTGAAGGGATCACCCACACAGAAACAGACAAATTCTTCACCAAACTGGCCATGTCTTTCCCCAAGATCCAGTGATTTGTAACAGGTAAACATATAATATTTAATTATGTATACACATGTTTGCTGTAAATTTTATTTAAGCTATTTTTGATTGATTGTTTGGGGAGTTACTTTGGGCAATTGGTTTTATTTTTAAACTTAAAAGTACTTGTAAAAAATTAAGACAATATATCTCTCTTACACAGGGTTCTTAAAGAGGACAAGTGATTTATAACTCATAATTGCCAAAGAATAAATTTCTGATTCTGGACAGTGTATACTTAGTGTGTTTCAATTGGCTCTCCTTTTTGTGATTTCTGTAACATTACTTATTTTGTTAAGTTCTAGTAAAAAGTCAATGGCATCTTGGAAAATCAAGTCCATGGACTTCATTATTCTTACCCCAACTTCTTTTGGATTGCCGTTCATTAACTTTTTTGTCTAGTCTTATATTTAAAGACTTTTTGTCATATTCATCTGCCACGTCCCCACACTGAACCATAGAATACTTAGACCCATTTATCCTATTTGCTTAAATATTTCATCATTGGAACAGCCTTATTAAATTTCTTTTGAAGTCTTAGAATTATACATCCACTCATTTCTGTCACTCTTCTCCTAAAATTCAACCAAAACTCCTGAAAAATAAACATTTTAAAACCTCTGCATTTGGTATCACTCTAATGATGAGTAATTGACAGGAGATGTTATTCTGTAACTATGTTTCTCATACTGGTTAATGAATAAAGCACTGTTGGCCAATAGGAAAGCAAGATATGTGGGACTAGGAGACAAGAAGGAGAGAGAAAGTATGAGGGAGGAGTAAAGATGAAGAGAGTGGGGAGAGCAGAGCCGGCCCTACTCCCCGGAAAGATGAGACCACGTGGAAATACTTAGATTAATAGAAATGGGTTGATAATGAAGACAGAGCTAGCCAATAAGAAACTAGTCCCTGGCAAACAACATTATAACTAATACAGAGTCTCAGTGTGTTATTTGGGGCAGGTGCCATGGTGGATCCAGGCCGGCAGGAAAAACCTTACTCATTACAAGTAAATCTCTGTTTTATTAGATATATCAATTTCTAGAATTAGACTCTTTCTGTTTCAATGCCACTATTGTTATTCTTGCTATAGGGAGACCATTTCTTCAACTGCCATATTACATTGAAACCCAGTGTTAAGTACACTCACTCACTCTCATTAAAGAAGAGGTGTTTCAAAATGTCTGTTAAGTATTATTTCTAGTCACTTTTTTGCTGAATCTATATCATACCTGTAGCCACAATAAATATGTCTGAATTTTTTTAGTTCAATTATGTGCCACTTTGAGGCCTTTTTGTGTCACACTGGAGAGAATTCCCAGAAGTCTAAAATTCCTTCTTGTTATAAACTTATATAACACTGAAAATTTCACAAAATTGAATTGTCATTTATTTCCAGCACCCTCCAATAAACTGCTATCAACTGTGTTGGAAATAGCCATAGATCAATGAGAAGAATGCGAAGAGAAAATGGTGTGAGGTGCTTTCAACAACCAATAACTGAGATATAAAGGATCTGTGGGTCTCATGAAAATCTCCTGCTTTTTGAGTGAAAAGAAAGATGAAATATATCATATCAGGGTAATTACCATTCTGCCTATGTCCAAGAGGTAATGGAGATGTGGCTAGCTTAACATGGGGCACGGCCTTCACTACTGTTCTGAGATATGGAGCCATAGCAAGTTTTGGATTAAAAACTCCCCAGGCTACATGTAAGACCAAAGAATGGTTTAGCTGAAATACTGGTGGTGTATGTACCAAGAGTTTTTCATACATGGCAGAAATCTGTTTGAATTTCTAAAAAGAGAAAGACCTAAATTTATATTTGCTTTAGACCTGTAAAAATCCCATAGATAAAAGAAGAGGTTCTTCTAATACAAATGAAAATTCTAGGAAAGCAAGGAACAAGAAGAACATGGGATATCACTCAAGAAAACAATAGCTTAGAGTTCACATGAGGTTGTATATCCTGACAGCACATTGTCCTTAATACTCAGTATTTTACTAATTTCCTTTATTCTTTTATTTCCCTATTCCCTACCTCATAAGTCCAGTCTCTTCATTCCATTTCAGACATTTTCATTTTTTTTTTTTTGTCTATTAAGAAGGTATCTGGTTTGTCTTCTACTTCTAAAACTCACTGATAATCTAATCCTTGCTAGAAAGATAACCCTGCCACCTTTCTTTCAGGAGACCTGACAGTGAGATAAGCCTAGATCCTAAATTACTCAGAGTGAGTTGACAAACTGAGCATCCATCAACCAAAGACTCAAGATTAAGTAAATGAAATTTGAATGTTCTAACATTATATTGAAGGCCTATTAGGATTAGTGGTTTCCTAAGGAATGTCTGTGTGAGTGTCTCTAAGATGCTTATTCCTAGACAAAAGTACTTATGGGAGTAAAAAGAAGAGAAGAGCAGCATCTGATTCTTCTGTGATATGTGGTAATAATTTGTTTTATTGCTGTAGTGTGGATTTGTATGAATAGGAGAGGAGAATTGATAGAGACCATAGGATGGAGTCAGTAGTAATCCTTCACTATTACTACTCCACTGATGCAGTGGTCATGGAACATATTTCTCTTTTAGTTGCTACAAATCATAATTTCAGCCACCACTTTTCTTCAGTAGTGTGGCATCTGGATTATGGGGGAGGGAAGCATAGCATGATACAAATAGCAGAGATTTGGAACAGATAGGAAAATAAACCCAAGAACATCTCCTGATCAAGTGCCTTTCCTGGTAATGTTTTAGGAAACTGTTAGTGAGCCTCAAAGACCCTCGAAAGGCATCTTCACCTTGAGGGAATTCACCTAGAGTTGACTGTGAGTACTAAGTCTTCTGAAAGAATGCTGTAAATTGTGCATAGTGGGAATGTTCCTTTTTCCTTGTTCCTCTTTCCAGTTGTGACAAAGACAAAGGAATGAACATCAAGAGATGGGAAAAGGTGAGAAGTTATAGGAAATGTCCATCTCAGCATTTCCTACTGTATGACTTGAGCTGCAAGAGGGTGAGGTGATGTATCATGTAATTTCAGTATGTGATGAGGTTGAAATCACACTAAAGGGCACTTGTTAAACATAGAATAAAGAGGTAATATAGGATGTGTCTAAAATGAGTCTGAGTGATGAGTACTATTAAGTGATTTTAAAGGCTTTAAAAAAGAAAGCATGTTTAGGGAATGGGATAATTTTAAGAAGACTTGGGAGTATATAAGATTAAAACACTGTGCAATAGTCTCAAATAACTAATA